TTTGGAGGACAGTTACCTGTGTTTTGGAGTATAGTTACCTGTGATTTGGAGGACAGTTACCTGTGTTTTGGAGTATAGTTACCTGTGATTTGGAGGACAGTTACCTGTGTTTTGGAGTATAGGTACCTGTGATTTGGAGGACAGTTACCTGTGTTTTGAAATATTGTTACATGTGTTTTAGAGTATAGTTACCTGTGATTTGGAGGACAGTTACCTGTGTTTTGAAATATCGTTACATGTGTTTTGGAGAACAGTTACCTGTTTTTTGAAATATTGTTACATGTGTTTTGGAGTATAGTTACCTGTGATTTGGAGGACAGTTACCTGTGTTTTGAAATATTGTTACATGTGTTTTGGAGTATAGTTACCTATGTTTTGGAGTACAGTTACCTGTGCTTTGGAGGACAGTTACCTGTGTTTTGGATTATAGTTACCTGTGATTTGGAGGACAGTTACCTGTGTTTTGGAGTATAGTTGCCTGTGTTTTGGAGTATAGTTACCTGTGTTTTGGAGTACAGCTACCTGTGTTTTGGAGTATAGTTACCTGTGTTTTGGAGTACAGTTGCATGTGTATTGGAGTATAGTTACCTGTGTTTTGGAGTACAGTTGCATGTGTATTGGAGTATAGTTACCTGTGTTTTGGAGTACAGTTGCATGTGTATTGGAGTATAGTTACCTGTGTTTCGGAACATTCTTACCTGTGTTTTGGAGGCGGCCTGAGTAGAAACAAAGAGCTCCATCTCGCCGTCTTCTCTGGGAACGGCCAGCGTGACGTTTGTCTCCAGGTAAAAATGTTCCTGCCCTCCGATGTGCATCTCACCTGTTAGTTAATCAATCAATAATCAAAACCTGATCAGGTGAAAACAGAAAGTAGTCACACTTACGGTCAGTCTTACCCTCCAGGATGTGGTCGGCCTGTTTAAAGCCCGCCTCCAGGTCACCACTCTGGATGGTTCTGATTGGCTGATAGAAGGACTGGGTGGCGATGGCTTCCTGTCGATCAGAAGAACAACAGACGTGTTTTTGGTGGAGCTCATTTTAACTTTTTTAATTCCCTTCACTGAGTCATCCAGGTGTTCTTAGTCTCACCTGGATGGTGACGACCGGCTGCAGCTCTTCGTACTGGATCCTGACAGCCTTGGCAGCTCTCTGAGCGTGGATCTGAGTGTCAGCCACCACAGCACCGATGATGTGACCGACACATGTCACCTGCAGAGACGAAGGAAACACAGAAATGAATGCCTTAATTGTGACAAGGAGAACTGTATTCTTTCACACACACACAGACACACAAACAAATTTAAAAAACAGTGGTGGAGAACCTAAGGAGTCGTCTGATTGGTCAGACAAACAAAAACACACCTGGCTGTCAGCGAGGACGGTCTCATCGTATTCGACCGGTCCGGTGGCGTTACTGCCGGGGATGTCAGCAGCAAACACACAGCAGACTACACCAGGCATTCGCTCAGCTGCCGAGGCATCTACGGAGCTGAGACACACACACACAGACCTGGGTGAGACAGGACAGGTGAGTGTGTGTGCGTGTGCGTGTGCATGTGTGTGTGTGTGCGTTTGCGTGTGTGTGTGTGTGTGTGCGTGGCTCAGGTATATGTGGGTAGTTCAGGTGTGTGGGCGTAGTTCGAGTGTCTGTGTTGTGCGAGTGTGGTTAAGGTGTGTGTGTGTCATACAGTTGTGAGTCTCACAGAATGTGGGCGTGTGCTTTGCTGCTGGTGACGAGCGCCAGGTAAAGCTCGTTCTCGTACTGCGGCATGTCGTCACAGTAAATCGCCTCACCCGTCGCCTGCTTCAGGGCCGACAGATGCATCATGGGACGGCCCACCACATCATCCTGGCTCTGCCCCTCCGGCACCACCTGGAGCAGAAATGTGATGTCATACACCTGGACACTAACACGGGAGCTTCACCTGTTCAAAGTTTGAATTATTATTCGCTGACATTATTTTGTAGCATGTGTACCTGGTAGATCTGAACGCTGGACGCTGTCTCTGGACGATAAATCTGCGTCGCACTGACACAGTCTGAGCTGACCGCCGCCACGTCCACGCCCTAAGGAATACAACATCACGCTCAGTAAATGGATGGCTTCAAAGTAAATTAAATTAATAAAATTAAAACCCATTAAAGTTAATTCAATCTAAACTCCACCTGGTCGAGGAGCTTCTGCAGCACCGTCAGGTAGAACTTGTAGAAGAAGCTGAGGGTCAAAGTTCGCCGGTACGTCACCATGCTGCCCGGTGCAGAGGGGTCGAGGGTCATCTCCTCTGCCAATGAGGAGCACGCCTCCTGGAGAAGCTCCTCCCCCCACCGCCTGGATGACATCAGAGAGTTCCATAGCAACAAACACATCTATGATCTTCAACTGTGATGTCACTGTGTTTGTTACCTTCCCAGCAGTCTGTTCGCCGTCTGCGTAGCCAGCACCGTGACGGGCGCCATGCCGCCATAACTCAGCCTCAAGTCCTTGACAATGTCAGTCTCGGGTGTGAAAGTTACGCTCATCGCAGCAGTGACAATGCTGATGTCATCCTCTCGGCGAGGAGACTGTTTGAAAGTGGAGACGAACTGAGTCTGAACAGGAAGAACACAAAACCACCGGCGTCAGAGTCCAGACCACCATGAAGCACAGCACGGTGACAGTGGTTGCTAGGTGACAGACAGTGGTTGCTAGGTGACAAACAGCCATAGCCGTGGCGATGTGTCTCTACCTTTTTGCTGTACGGGATCTCAATGGACACCAGGACTTCCTGTGGTCGCAGGATTGTCTTCCTGTAACCAGTGAAGAAACCGTCGTCCATCCGAACCACACGACTCCCATCTGACACACAGACATACACCAGGGTCAGAGGTCAGAGGTTTAACAGCATTAGGAAACATTCAAAGACCTGTCAGTAGGTCTGGGAGGATGAACCCTGTGTTGCCTGTAGGATATATAGAAACTAGCTGTGGGTACAGTAAAGTACAAAATCACAGAGTGACCCTGAACACAACATTAGTCTGAATTTATTATTTAATGACAGGTTCAGAGGGAGTCACCTGAATGCCTCTTGACAGAGACAGTGAATGCACCACCACTGTTTTCACAGAATCGGTGTGTGTGTGTGTGTGTGTGTGTGTGTGTTTGAAGATGTGTGTGTGTGTGTGTGTGTGTGTGTGTGTGATACCTTTGTCCCTCAGGATGAGTTTACAGCCCGCGGCCATAAACACAGGGTTGAGGTCAGATATGGGGCTGGCGGTCATGATGTTTCCACCGACAGCCTGAAAACAAAAACACAATAAAACTTTATTTCACTTCCTGTTGATTCATTCAGTCTGAACTCTGGTCCGCACTCCTACACTTCCTAAATGTACACTTTAGTCTGCTCTCCCAGGGCCCCTGAACTCCCCACCAGGTGTAGTAAATTCATTTGAAACACTCTGCTCTCCCAGGGCCCCTTAACTCCACACCTGGTTCAGTTTCTTGACGATCATTGACTCAATATTTCTGATGTGATTCTGATTAATAAGTTTCCCACAAAGAGGACACAGAAATGCTGCAACTCACCGCCACGTTACGAATCTGCATCCCAGCAAACCAGCGCAGCTGCTCAAGGACAGCGAGGAAGACCTGGGTCTGATGAGGAGGAAGAGTCTCCACCGCCTGTTTCAGTATCGCCCCCATGTGGCTGAGAGTGCACGCTGCACCAAACACCACACCTGAACAAACAAACAAAGTGTGACAGGTGTCTCAGTTTGGTTCTAGACTATCAACCACGTGAGCATGAAGACGGAAAGAAACCTGAGCTATCTGAGCTTAAATCATCGAGACGTTTGGCGCGATTACATTAGGCCTCTGGAGGTTAAATCATCGGGACGTTTGGTGAGATTACATTAGGCCTCTGGAGGTTAAATCATCGGGACGTTTGGTGCGATTACATTAGGCCTCTGAAGGTAACTGTACTTATTTAGCTCCCTTCTAGTCTTCAAGCCACTCAAACCGCCTTTACGCCACGAGTGACATACACCCATTCACATTCACACGCAGGTGGCCGAGGCTGCAGTAAAAGGTGCCACCTGCTGCTCAGTAACCATTGACACACACTCACACACTGATGAACAGTCCGACACTTGCAGACTGGAGAAGGTGGGGCGACCCGCTCTACCTCTGAGCCTCAGCTGTGTCCTCAGGTGAAGTTTAGCAGTAACTCTCAGACTCACCATCGTCAGTTTGAGTCACTGAGCTCAGTTCAGGGACGAACGTCGGCGCCAAAATCACCGGATACACCATGTTCTTAAACTTCACCTCGATACCTGAACACACACAGAGTGAGTGAGTGAGTGAATGAGTGAGTGAATGGATAAATGAGTGGACAGATGAGTGGATGAATGAACAAATGAGTATACACACTAACCCACTTCGGTGTTTCCCACGACGATTCGGGCGTCGGGATATTTCCACTTCAGACGCAGAAACTCGTCCAGACTGTCGGGCTGCAGCCATGTCGTCCTGTCCCCATGGAAAGACAGTGAGGACGACCTCTGACCTATGGTTAGAGACTGGAACAGAGGACGGACAGACGGACAAACCAACAGGAGGACAGTCAGAGTGTGTGTGTGTGTGTCAATGTGTGTCTGTCCACAGCGGACACGTGGACAGATGTCCTCAGAGGACACGTGGATAGATGCCCTAAGAAGACACACGGTCACACAGACAGATGTCCCCAGAGGACACATGGACAGATGTCCTCAGAGGACACATGGACAGATGTCTTCAGAGGATACATGGACAGATGCCCTAAGAAGACACACGATCACACAGACAGATGTTCTCAGAGGTTACATGGACAGACGTCCTCAGAGGACACTTGGACAGACGTCCTCAGAGGACACGTGGACAGACATTCTGGATGGCCATCAGAGACAAAGGTGTATGTGAGCGTTGAGTCACAGAAGGACAATGATGTCATCATGTTAATATGAAGTGAGCATGTCGGGGAGCGGACAAATGACCGTCAGTGACTTCCTGTTGTAAACACCTGACACAGAACCTGAGACATCTGATGACGTGGCTCTCTGTCCAAGCTCAGCTGAGTCATCTTTAACAAGAGAGTTTACACACTTGTTTTTATTGTTTGTTTGTTGTTTAGGCTAGGGAAGATGACTTTCTGTTGTGAACATGTGGTTCTCTGTCCACACTCAGGTGAGTCGTCTTTAATGAGGCCAGGTTAAAATAAACTGATTTCATCTCCTGACTCTTTGTTTGTGTTTGTTGTTTATTGTTTGTTGTTTACCATGAGCTCAGGAGGGAAGATGACTTCCTGCGTGGGGTCAAAGGGCGTGAAGTCGGCAGCGCTGAATAAAGATGTCGATTCCTGCAGAGAAACAAAACGTAAAATTTAATGTCAGAAACATTACTCGTGATACTGCGTCACAAACAGATGACATCACAGCGGTGCCTGGACAGCGTGACGTGTGTGGTTGTGCTGCTGCCGTGGTCCTGCCAGATGCCTCCTGCTGCTGCTGCCATCATTAGTCATTAGTCATACTTCTACTGTTATTATACACATATGACTATTGTCACACATGTATACTGCCAGATATTAATACATACTTTCAACATATTGTACCACAGTAGCCAGAACTATAACTATAATATTATTACTTTCAATAATGTTGTTGTAAGCTACTGTCATTACCTGCATCTCTCTCTCTATCTCTCTCTGTCTCATTGTGTCATGCGGATTACTGTTAATTTATTATGATGATCTGTTCTGTACGACATCTATTGCACATCTGTCCGTCCTGGAAGAGGGATCCCTCCTCAGTTGCTCTTCCTGAGGTTTCTACAGTTTTTTTTCCCCGTTAAAGGGTTTTTTGGGGAGTTTTTCCTGATCAGCTGTGAGGGTCATAAGGACAGAGGGATGTTGTATGCTGTAAAGCCCTGTGAGGGAAATTGTGATTTGTGATATTGGGCTTTATAAATAAAATTGATTGATTGATTGACTTACATCATCGACTTCCTGCGAGCGTCTCTCTGCTGAACTCCCATTGGTCAGACAGCAGTCGGTGTCCCGCCCCCTGCCACCACAGCACCCCCCTTCCTGGAGATGAAAACATGCCATTAAACCAGATTGATGAACCTGATCAATAAGATTGATTCTACAGAGACTGGAACAAGGTCGGGGCTGAGTGAGTGAGTAAATGGATGAATGAATGAGTGAATGAATGAATGGATGAATGAATGAGGGTTAGGATGAAGTTGAGATGATGTTTGCCTTATTTCTGTAAACAGGAAGGCGACTCCCCAACATGCCCTGACTTAAGTATTATGGTCTGTCTTTGTTTCCATCATTTAACACAGTGTCTGTACAGACCATTTTAAATAAAGTTTATTTGTCTGTAGAGACCATTTTATAAAGTTTATTTGTGTCTGTAGAGACCGTTTTGAATAAAGTTTATTAGTTTATTTGTGTCTGTAGAGACCGTTTTGAATAAAGTTTTTGTCTGTAGAGACCATTTTAAATAAAGTTTATTTGTGTCTGTAGAGACCGTTTTGAATAAAGTTTTTGTCTGTAGAGACCATTTTAAATAAAGTTTATTTGTGTCTGTAGAGACCATTCTAAATAAAGTTTATTAGTTTATTTGTGTCTGTAGAGACCGTTTTGAATAAAGTTTTTGTCTGTAGAGACCATTCTAAATAAAGTTTATTAGTTTATTTGTGTCTGTAGAGACCGTTTTGAATAAAATTTTTGTCTGTAGAGACCATTTTAAATAAAGTTTATTTGTGTCTGTAGAGACCGTTTTGAATAAAGTTTTTGTCTGTAGAGACCATTTTAAATAAAGTTTATTTGTGTCTGTAGAGACCATTCTAAATAAAGTTTATTAGTTTATTTGTGTCTGTAGAGACCGTTTTGAATAAAGTTTTTGTCTGTAGAGACCATTCTAAATAAAGTTTATTAGTTTATTTGTGTCTGTAGAGACCGTTTTGAATAAAATTTTTGTCTGTAGAGACCATTTTAAATAAAGTTTATTTGTGTCTGTAGAGACCGTTTTGAATAAAGTTTTTGTCTGTAGAGACCATTTTAAATAAAGTTTATTTGTGTCTGTAGAGACCATTTTAAATAAAGTTTATTAGTTTATTTGTGTCTGTAGAGACTGTTTTAAATAGTTTATTAGTTTATTTGTGTCTGTAGAGACCATTTTAAATAAATTTTTGTGTCTGTAGAGACCGTTTTAAATAAAGTTTATTAGTTGATTTGTGTCTGTAGAGACCGTCTTAAATAAAGTTTATTAGGTTCTTTTGTGTCTGTAGACACCGTTTTAAGTTTATTCGTGTCTGTAGAGACAGTTTTAGTAAAGTTTATTAGTTTATTTGTGTCTGTAGAGACCGTTTTGAATAAAGTTTTTGTGTCTGTAGAGACTGTTTTGAATAAAGTTTTTGTGTCTGTAGAGACCATTTTAGATAAAGTTTTAGTTTATTTGTGTCTGTAGAGACCTTTATAAATAGTTTATTTGTGTCTGTAGAGACCGTTTTGAATAAAGTTTTTGTGTCTGTAGAAACCGTTTTAAATAAAATTTATTTGTGTCTGTAAAGACCCTTTTAAATAAAGTTTATTTCTGTCTGTAGATGCCATTTTAAATAAAGTTTAATAGTTTATTTGTGTCTGTAGAGACCGTTTTGAATAACGTTTTTGTGTCTGTAGAGACCATTTTAAATAAAGTTTATTTGTGTCTGTAGAGACCCTTTTAAATAGTTTATTAGTTTATTTGTGTCTGTAGAGACCGTTTTAAATAAAGTTTATTTGTGTCTGTAGAGACCGTTTTAAATAAAGTTTATGTGTGTCTGTAGAGACAGTTTTAAATAAAGTTTATGTGTCTGTAGAGAATGTTTTAAATAAAGTTTATTTCTGTCTGTAGATGCCATTTTATATAAAGTTTATTAATTTATTTGTTGTCGTAGAGACCGTTTTAAATAGTTTATTAGTTTATTTGTGTCTGTAGAGAACGTTTTAAAAAGTTTATCAGTTTATTAGTGTCTGTAGAGACCATTTTAAACAAAGTTTAATAGTTCATTTGTGTCTGTAGAGACCATTTTAAATAGAGTTTATTTGTGTCTGTAGAGACCGTTTTGAATAACGTTTTTGTGTCTGTAGAGACCATTTTAAATAAAGTTTATTTGTGTCTTTAGAGACCCTTTTAAATAGTTTATTAGTTTATTTGTGTCTGTAGAGACCTTTTTAAATAAAGTTTGTTTGTGTCTGTAGAGACCGTTTTAAATAAAGTTTATTTTTTTAGAGACCATTTTAAATAAAGTTTATTTGTGTATGTAGATACCGTTTAAATCAAAGTTTATTAGTTTATTTGTGTCTGTAGAGACCATTTTAAATAAAGTTTGTGTATGTAGAGACCTTTTTAAATAAAGTTTATTTGTGTATGTAGATACCATTTTAAACAAAGTTTATTAGTTTATTTGTGTCTGTAGATACCATTTTAAATAGTTTATTTGTGTCTGTAGAGACCGTTTTAAATAAAGTTTGTGTCCGTATAGACTGTTTAAAATAAAGTTTGTGTCCATAGAGACCGTATATACATACATAGTCATCCAGATGCTGCAGAGTAAATCAGATGATCTAAGGGACTGCACTGTATTTATCAGAGGAGGGGCGTGGCTAATGTGTGACTCCGCCTTCCTCTGTAAATCAGTTTTTGCATTTTTGATGTTTGAAAGTTAAAACTTTAAAGTTAAATAAAGTCTTAGTCATTCTTGTTGTTCAAACACTTCATTTTTGGACAAATATTTAGTGAGCCATACAATAAATTCTGATGTTTGTTTATAGCACATGATGTATTCAAGGACCATCAGAAATTTGGAAAGATGTTTGAACAAAACAAATCAAAATTTCTAAATGTTAACCCTTAGATGCATAAGTGGGGTCAAAAATTACCCCAGGGGTTGTTTTTCTTCAATATCTATGGAATTAAAAGTTTTTATCATTTCATATTCCAGGTATTCCTCATAAAACATGTTTCTGACATGAGGCCATTTGCATTTTTAAAAAAAATTATATACATTTTAAGAAATTGTTGTTTTTGTATCACTACCCCACTCTTCCATAAGTGGGGTCAAAAATGACCCCAAGCATTTCCTATGGAATATCAAGGGTTAGACCTAGGAATCTTTGATTCTTATCCACTGTGACTGTCAGGTATACATTTACTGTTGCACTTACACATCTAATGCCAGCAGTCTCACCACCCAGGATTTTTATACAGCAACAGACATGTTAGTATTGTATTCGTTTTATATCTTGGAATACATATGACGTTATAAAATATGAACTTATTTTCCACATCCATGACTTTTGTGTGATAAAGTATAGTATTACTGTCATCAAATTAGCCTACTTTGTAGTTAGCTAACACTAGCTAACTAAGTTAGCTAGTGTTAGTAGTGTTAGCTAACTACAATGTAGGTACTAATCAGCTAATTACTATGTAATGTTAGTACCGTAATGTTAGCTAGCTAACATTACTGCATTTGTTGTGTAGAGATAAGCAGCCTTACTATGATATTCATAGCTTCCTTGTAATACAGTCTTATCATTATTGTGTGTGTGCGTGTGCGTGCGCGCATTTTAGGTAGCCTATTATGCTATTATTTATTATTCAATGATGTCATTAGTAAGTGTGTGTGTGTGTGTGTGTGTGTGTGTGTGTAGTTCATTACTGCATTTGTTGTGTAGAGATAAGCAGACTTACTATGATATTTCTAGCTTCCTTGTAATAAAATCTAACCCGTTAGGTAGCCTATTATACTATTATTGATTATTCAATTATGTCATTAGTTGTCAAAATGTTAATAAAAAGTGATAAATGAACATGTCAAACATGAAATCATTCTTTTGTTGACCAAAATATAATACAAACCATCATCTTTAACCAAAATGAAAGAAACTGCTTAAGTTTATCACATAACACGCATTGATTCTAATTGGGGTCATTTTTGACCCCACTCATGGAAAAGTGTAGGCATTGGTAGGTCATGCATCTAAAGAAGACATGCCAAGAGCATAAAACGTTATGAAGGAAAAAATAAATAAATAAATAAATAAAGGAAAAAAATTGCCAAAACTTTTTACAGGAAATGTCAACTTTGGCAAAATTTAAAAGCATTTCAAAAGAAAACATGCCAAAACATTTTGAAGAAAAGAAATTGCCAGAAATTAAAAGGAATAAGATTCCACCAGAAGTTTTAAAGAAACCCTGAATTTTAATCTTGTTTCTTAAGTTTTCTGTAAAAACTCTTCAGTAAAATGAATAAAAAATGCACTACTTCAAATGTGTAAGCTCCTCCTTCAGTCAAAATAAAAAGCATACGTAACTCCCCAGTGATTAAAATATTATGTGACATGTCTCTTTCTTGTGTGTGTGTGTGTGTGTGTGTGTCACCTTGGTGAAGGTCCTGTATCCCTCCAGTATCGGCCTGTATCCAGTACAACGACACAGATTTCCTGAAATACAAAATAAATAAAGTTTTAATATTTCATGGACCTTTTTGGACATGTCGGTTACGTCTGAGGGTCAAAGGTCAGGGACACGTCTGACTAACGACTGAGTTTCAGGTGACTGGCCTCACCTTGAAACGCCTCTCCCACGTCAGCCATCTTGGGGACAGGGTTGTTCCTGAGCAGAGCGTACATGGACATGACGATCCCTGGAGTACAGAAACCACACTGAGAGCCATGAGCTCGGGCTATTCTCTCCTGAGGGTTTAAAAAAAAAACAAAAAAACATTTAGAATGAGTTCATCAAACAACCTGAAAACTGCGTTCATCAACAGCTGTGGTGACATAATTGATCGTCCTGATTACTGAGTCCACCTCAGCTGTTCACCTGGACGCTGAATTCAAAAGAAAACTTTTTATTGTCTCTATGGGGACACCTGGGAGTTATTAACATCCCAACGAAGAATCCTGGGAGTCATTATTGTCTCTATGGGGAAACCTGGGAGTTATTGTCTCTATGGGGACACCTGGGAGTCATGAGTGTCTCTATGGGGATACCTGGGAGTCATTATTGTCTCTATGGGGACACCTGGGAGTTATCGTCTCTATGGGAACACCTGGGAGTCATGAGCGTCTCTATGGGGATACCTGGGAGTCATGAGTGTCTCTATGGGGACACCTGAGAGTCATTATCATCACTAGGAAGTCCCCAGGTGTCCCCCTGGGGAACCCTTAGGGTTGTTAACATCCCCTCGGGGACACCTTATCCTCTCTAGGGTCCAGTTCAGACCAAAGATCAGCGATGAGACAAATGTGTCAGAAAAGTGTTAGTGGAATGAACTGGCCAGTCTGAGCTGGACTCAAGCCGGCTGATGGTGTCGCCTGACACTCAGCTGGTCAAATGGCCGGTGGCTGGTTTTAAAGCATGTCCCCTGTTTCAACAACCAATCAGCTTGAAGTGAAGTCCGCTGGACAAGTCGAAATGACCACAGATTTAAAGAAACTACAAATTATATTCAGACACAAAGTGAGTCTGAAAAGCTGCAAATCACATCAGAAGTACAGAGAGTTGTTGACTAGAGTGGTTACTTCCTGTCAACGTTACAGATCAGAAGTACAGAGAGTTGTTGACTAGAGTGGTCACTTCCTGTCAACGTTACAGATCAGAAGTACAGAGAGTTGTTGACCAGAGATGATACGCCGTCTCATGGTGGTCACTTCCTGTCAACGTTACAGATCAGAAGCACAGAGAGTTGTTGACCAGAGATGATACGCCGTCTCATGGTGGTCACTTCCTGTCAACGTTACAGATCAGAAGCACAGAGAGTTGTTGACAAGAGATGACACACCGTCTCATCGTGGTCACTTCCTGTCAACACGCAGGTCTGACAGCAGCTTCCTGTTTCAACACATGTCATCTTTGGTCTGAATTGGACTTTATGTTACACGAAAAAAAGAGGACATGACGTGTACAGGTGTGTTTGTGTCTCACCTGGACAGGATGTAGTTTTCGTGCCACGCTGCCGATGCCCTCCACAGTTGTCACGGCGACCAGGTGCAGGGAGCAGAGTGGGGCGAGACAGGCGTTGATGGCGTGATGACTGAACATTAGGTCAAAGATACCTTATCAGCTGTGATGTTAACATGTCGGACTGGGTCACATGACTGCGCATACACACACACACACACACACACACACACACACACACACACACACACAGGTTGAAGGATACAGCAGCTGCTCAGTGTGTGCTTGGTATCTGGACAACATGACGGTACAGGCTCCACATCCTCCCTCAGCACAGCCCAGTTTAGTCCCAGTTAGACCCACTGAGGATACAGAGGACACAAAGGACACAGGGGACACACAGAGGACACACGGGACACACAGGGGACACAAAGAGGACAGAAAGGACACAGATGGGACACAGAGAGACACAGAGGACACACAGGGGACACACAGAGACACAGTGAGTGTACATTAACAGCTCTGTCTGATCTTCTTCAGCTCTCAGAGTCTTTCTGACCTTCAGACTGTTTAGATTTAACCTGCTGTTTAATAATCGTCCATATCTGTGGACATTTCTGCTCATCCTCGACTTCTGTCCACATGCCCCGTCCTCAAAAGGACAGCTGTAAGGTCACTCCTGAACACGAACATTTTAGCGGAGCTGACAGAGGCTGGAAACATTTTTGTGTAAATGGACACCTCAAAGTCAGTATGGCTCTGTGGGGACATCTAAGATGAGTTGCCCCCACATGGACACCTGGAGGGGATGGGCAGCTGTCCTCAAAGAGGTTCTAGGGTTCTTTAAGAACATCCCAGTTGACCTTGAGAACGTTCCAGTGAAGCCTCATTACCTTTCCTGGAGGTTTCAGGTGTTCCAGGAGTCCTTGAGGACCCTCAAAAGGCTCTTGTAAGTTACCACAGGTCCCTGAGGATGTTCCAGACATCCTCTAACACCTGCTTTGGTTCTTGAACCGGTTCTGTTGAGGATTCTTAAACCTCGGTGCAATTTAAAGCCCCAGCAGGTTTCCATCAGATCATTGTAACAAATCAATGAGACACTACACGCTCTTTAAGACACACCCACTGATGACATCACTGAACGTCTGGTCAGAGAACACCTGGTGTGTCCTTGGTTCCAGGTGAGATCTGAATCTTCAGGATGTGAACCAGTTAATCTGAACGGTTTGAAACCAGGCTCAGGAACAGAACCAGTTCCATGTTGGTGTCTGAGAGGTTTCCAGGGTCCTTGAAAAGGATCCAGGAAAGCTCTGTAACCTGAGCTGATGTCCTAAAGACATTCCAGGACTCTATGAGTCCTGGAATGTCTTTAGGACTTCCCAGGACAGTAACCGTGGCAACAGGAGACCTGAAGGACACTGAGGACACCGAGGTGTCTCCTGACGTCCATGAAGAGGTTCCAGGTCTGAAGTTTGTTTGGACTTTGATCAGCTGATGGTGACATCACAGTCACTGACCTCACAGTCACTCATCAGGTTTCCATGGAAACATCAATAAACCAAACAGGAACTGTTGTGTCCACAGCTCAGCAAGACACAGTCCTTTCAAAATAAAACACTCTTTCTTATTTCAATCTGAAAATCTTTCTGCTGCACCACAGATCTGATCAGACGAACAAACATCTGACTGAATGATGGAAACAGGAAGTGTGATGTAACCATGACAACGACATGAGGACAGAGTATATTGTGTGTGATAGTGTGTTTATATGTGTGTATTTTTATGTATGTGTGTGTATGTTCATACGTTTCCTCCTCAGGTAAGTCAGTAGACTCATCTCAGGATCTGGGTTCTTCTCAACGACCTGAAGAACAAAGTACAAAGAAAGAAATATTAGATCCTGAACAGTATGACGAAGACGTGACTGTGGACGAAGACGTGACCATGAATCAATCAATCAAACTTTATTTGTATAGCACTTTTCATACATTAAAAATGCAGCACAAAGCGCTTCACAGAATAAAAACATACAACAAAAATATTTCACACATATTGACTGTGGATGAAGATGTGACTATGGACGAAGACGTGACTGTGGATGAAGATGCGACTGTGGATGAAGACGTGTGTGTGGACGAAGACATGACTATGGACGAAGACGTGACTGTGGATGAAGATGTGACTGTGGATGAAGTCGTGACTGCGGATGAAGATGTGACCGTGGATGAAGACATGACCGTGGATGAAGACTTGACTGTGGACGAAGACGTGACGTGGATGAAGACGTGACTGTGGACAAAGACGTGACCATGGACGAAGACGTGACCACGGATGAAGACATGACAGTGGATGAAGATGTGACTGTGGACGAAGACGTGACCGTGGATGAAGACATGACTGTGGATGAAGACGTGACCACGGATGAAGACATGACTGTGGATGAAGACGTGACCACGGATGAAGACATGACAGTGGATGAAGACATGACTGTGGATGAAGACGTGACCGTGGATGAAGACATGACTGTGGACGAAGACGTGACCGTGGATGAAGACATGACTGTGGACGAAGACGTGACCACGGATGAAGACATGACAGTGGATGAAGATGTGACTGTGGACAAAGATGTGACCGTGAATGAAGATGTGACTGTGGATTAAGACGTGTGTGTGGACGAAGACGTAACTGTGGATGGAGACTTGACTGTGTATGAAGACATGTCTGTGGACGAAGACATGACTGTGGACAAAGACATGACCATGGATGAAGACATGAACGTGGATGAAGATGTGACTGTGGATGAAGATGTGTCTGTGGATGAAGATGTGACTGTGGATGAAGACGTGACTATGGACGAAGAAGTGACCGTGGATGAAGACGTGACTGTGGACGAAGACGTGACCATGCACGAAGACGTGACCACGGATGAAGACATGACCGTGGATGAAGATGTGACTGTCGACGAAGACGTGACCACGGATGAAGACGTGGGCGTGGATGAAGACGTGACTGTGGACGAAGACGTGACCATGGATGACGACATAACCGTGGATGAAGACATGACTGTGGACGAAGACGTGACCGTGAATGAAGATGTGACTCTGGATGAAGACGTGTGTGAGAACGAAGACGTAACTCAATCAATCAATCAATTTTATTTATAAAGCCCAATATCACAAATCACAATTTGCCTCACAGGGCTTTACAGCATACGACATCCCTCTGTCCTTATGACCCTCACAGCTGATCAGGAAAAACTCCCCCAAAAAAACCCTTTAACGGAGAAAAAAAACGGTAGAAACCTCAGGAAGAGCAACTGAGGAGGGATCCCTCTTCCAGGATGGACAGACGTGCAATAGATGTCGTACAGAACAGATCAGCATAATAAATTAACAGTAATCTGTATGACACAATGAGACAGAGAGAGAGACAGAGAGAGAGATGCAGGTAATGACAGTAGCTTACAACAACATTATTGAAAGTAATAATATTATAGTTATAGTTCTGGCTACTGTGGTACAATATGTTGAAAGTATATATTAATATCTGGCAGTATACATGTGTGA